GGGTTTTTTTGTGTTTGTTGTTTTGTTAAGAATTTTTTTTAATACTTCCCTCATAAATCACTAAGACATCATACTGTCTGTCTTTAAAGAGACATTACAAGTATTTTCAACTACTTTCTAACCAAAGTACTTCCATCACCAATTAAACCTTTGGATGCCTTCTGAGCTTGAGACAAATGCAGTTTACTAGATATAACATTCTGAGTAATACACATATAAATAGGTTTCGCACTTGATTTGCAAGTGAGATTGTAATTTGGCCATTAATGGCCGCATATGCAACTCTTTGGAACAGAAAATCCAAAAGAAAATATTTTAGAATGGTATGAAGGGCTGAGAATATTAGTTCTGAAGTCCAATCTATTAGTTCTGTAGTAACCAAAGACAAGAAATTAATAAGAAACTCCCAAAATATTATCATTAACCATTCAAAAATGTATTTACTAGAATGAAGCAGCTCAGACAATTACAGCTTTGATAGGGCAAAGTGCATGCAATATGACTACATAAGAATACAGTTACACACTTCTAAGAGTTCCACGCAGTGATCCTGAAAGTTAAGGAAGCTACTGAAGTATGAAACTATTTTGACTAAGACCTGTATTTTTGCAGTTCCACTGAAACCATTACTAAGATTGAGTCATTCAACTTCCTTAGAGATAGAGAAATACTCTTCTCTACTAATTTCATTTGCTGTTGTACAACAAAATCAGGACATGGGGATAGAGTTACATCAAATCACGTGACTAAATTAAATTACAAGTTGCAGAAGAAAGCAAGCTCTTTTCAAGAGCATCCAGTGCACTTAGCATTATCACATTTTATGGAGTACACAGTCTACTCACTTTACTGATCATATTGCAAAATTTATTTAATCTTCTATTCTTACATTCTGGACATGATTTTTATGAAGGAAATGTGATCCTATGTATCTCAGCACTAACTGCATGATTGATTGATGGCAATAAGTTTAAACTAACTTTTCCTATGAACACAAAAGATTAATCAAAACAATTGCTCCCCCAAGATCTGGGGAATTTAATTATCAAAAGTAATATAAAACTGGTGCATTAAGTTCATGATTGGAGAAGTTGCACACGGAAGGCTGATGCAATTACCTGTAACATCAGCTCACAGTCATCTCTTCCAACAAAAATCATTTCTCGTGGCAGCCTATGGCGGGTGCCTCCACTGCTCACCAAAAACCAGGATGTTAAGCTCATTTTCTGCTTAGCTGATAAATCCTTGGCAAAGCTACGTCATCCTGCAGTGAGAAGGAGAGACAGAGAAATTCATTTTAGTTATTTTTAGCTACAGTTCCTGCTCAGCAAACCCTGTGAGCAGAATACAAAAAGCCTCTGAAAATACAGCATTTTCAATAGCATGTACTGAATCCAGCACTCACAGGAAGTGACAGGCTCCAGATTTACATAGACTGAGGCTTCATGCAACTAGGCAAATTTAATCGGAGGTAAGCTTCTTCAAAATGAGCAAGCAGCTAGCTAATGCCAAAGTCATACGTCAAGTTGTCAGAAAGCTTTTAACATCTGACCGCTTATTATCCAGATAATTGCTACATTAATGCTTCACTATCATAACCAATAAACAACGGGGCAAATGTTCACAAAAAACAGCAGTGTGTGTCATCTACGCAAAAGAACTACCTCATTTGGTTCTAAGCTCAGGTCCTCTATACAGCACCAAGTGGAATCTTCAGTTAAAGGGAGCTTTGCTTCTTATTTAATGTTAGACATTCACAACAGAACTTTTATCTTGGAAATTTAGCAGTGTATGTTTAGAATTGTAAACAAAGCAGAGTGAAATGAACAATTCAGAAGCTATTTATAAGCAATAAAACTGAAAGTAGTGTTCCTACAAAACTTTACTGTAATTTTCCAATAAACAACATGACATACTACATACTTACACAGAAAAAAAACCCACAGCTATTTAAAATGTCATAAAATACAAACGAAAACAAAACTTGAAAACTGGATACATTCTTTTGCGGAAAACTGCTTCACATAATATGGCCTACTTGACACTGGACAAAAATATGAATAAAAGCAGTCTCCAGAGTAATTCAATGATTGATACTTGGAAAAGCCTTTAAGAAGTACTCCAAATCTCTCTTTAAGAAAAAGAAAGCCAAAGAAATAATTTCTTTCATTTGTTATCACTCTGTATTCAATAAAAGAGAGGCTAAGGAAAATAAAAAGCAACTAGTCTGCATTCCTCTCAGTACCAAATAGCTGGCATTTCTCTTCTCTTTTATTTATATGTCATTTAGTGAAATTATGCAAGGGTAGCAAAAGTACTGTAAGTAGACATAAGCCTGTAGCAGACTTGAGCAAAATCAGCATAATAACAAGAATTTAGCAAGGTTCTCAAAACTAAGACTAACATGTAAGCACTCAGTAAGATGACAATGCCAGCACTGTCCCATTAGGCAAACTACAATCAAGGAGAGACGGTGCAAATTACGAAAACTTATAAAGAGACTGAGCTGGGTCAAAACTGCATCTGAAAATGACAAAACAGACATTTACAAAACAGTAAGTCAAAAGCATACCATAGCAGGTGCTAAAATGAACCAGCAGAGCTGTCAACTCAGTTAAAAAAACATGCAATTAGAATGGAAGAAATTAGAAAGATTCAATGTGACAAAGAGTTAGTAAAAAAGTAAATATGTGTTGCAACAAAGTGTTCTCTTATACAGATAATAAGATTATCTTTCCACAGCTGTATCACAACACATTCTTCAAGTAAAACTTAGGTCCACCTAATGTTCTCCAACTCAATGGAAAAAGTGACACAGCATCTCTACTGTAATTTATTCACAGAGAATATTAAGAATTCAAATTCAATCTACAATAATAACTTGCTGAAAACAAATTTAAAAGCATCTAGTTACCAAATAAGTGTTTTAGTAATTAACAGTTTATTCAGCACCTTTGAAGGAAATGAACATTTCCATTTTTAATTTAACCTAGTTTAGAAGATAAACTAGGTCAAATGCCATTTTTTCCATTCCTTTTAAGAAAGGAAAAGGACCTATCAAAAATGGTTAGCCTAGGTTCCAGCTTTAAAGAAGTAAATTAAATGGATGTTTGACAGTAAGCACGCATTCAGTATCAAAGCTCCTCATTCCATTTATATTTGACTGTCTTTTAAATCTCCCATCTGCTTTTCATAACACCATTTACACCATTCGGCCTTCCTGCTTTAATTGAAAATTCATATGAAAACTTCCAAGAGGATATAAACTATTTCAAAAAGTTCTTAGTCAAATGCTATGTCTTAATTTACATAGGTAGACTGTCAATAAAGGAGAAAAACTCTTTTCATTTACAAAACACACAAGTAGGTCAACAACTACTGAGCTAGAAAAAAAACTCCCAAACCTCAAACTTCCCACAAATGATAAAGCCTGACAACAAACAGATTAAATTAAGCAACCTGAAATAATTTTATAAAAAGTATTATACAGAGCAATCATTGCCACACAGCATGGCAGCACATTGGTACTTAAAAGCCCATCAACACTTCTATCTAAGTGAACAATGTTGTTCTTTTCATACAGTGCTGTCTCATCTGCGACGAATCATCAACCTAGATACATATTTTATTTTAAAGTATTCTTTAGAATAAACCAATGTCTTTGATCAAGCTATGCTGAAATTCTGCATAGCAAAACTTGCTGAAAACAGGATACAGTAGCAACAGTTAATATCAGAACAAAAAAGTGCATTAAAAATTTGATATGAAACCGTACACTTATATATAGTATATGGACAATTACATTGCACCTCAAACTTCATGAAGGCTAATAATATTTTTATTATACTGCTGTATTAAGAAGTCTGGCTGTAGTATTTTGAACAATACAAAGATGAAAGATTTTTCACTGTGTAAGAGATGCCAAATTAAATTAGTATATGACAGGTGCAAAATCATCACCAGAAGTGTCTGTTTGCACAGTGTAAATTTAGGTCATGATAATTCTTGCAATGAGATGTTATAGGTACCAAAAGGTCACACTGCATTCAAAAAGCAATACACATTCATGGAAGAAAAAATTAGCATGCTTATTAAATGCAATGACCCCACTTACAGCTCAGGAACTACATGTGCTGTGCATTTTGAAAGGCTAGGAGCATGCTCTAGTGAGGTTTCACTTGGTATCGTCCTTGTTAATAACCTCTCCTACTTACCTAGCCTTTGTTTATAGGGAACAGGATACTGGCCTAGATGGGCCTGTCTTACTCCAGTACAGACTACACTTTTTAGATGAAGTATTTACCAAAAACATTATGATTTCTTCTGTAGAAAATTGAATTTTAGGTGCTCTCTTGAAACATACAGCAGTATGGTGTTGTAATCTCTAAACAAACTAGTAAACATTTCATCATTAAGACTTGATCATTCAAAACAATACTTCATTCTAAATACCTGGAAGTGAGATCCTGAGACATTTATTGCAACTGCAAAATGTTTCCTTGTCTGCAGAAGAAACAGCATTTAATGGTGAAGGACTATGAATTTCAAAAGGCAGTAACCAGTGTGTAAGAATGAACACATGGGTAATAAGTCATCCGAAACAGATGATGAAGCAACAGGGAAACTGGCTGCATCACCCCTGTAAATATAATTCAGTCCTAAGAACTAAAGCCCCGCATTATGTAGCCAAAAGATGGGTGTAACCAATTTCAAATATGTCCAGAGAAACACCGCCAAGATTACAGTTTTGACACGGTAATGTTATTGTAAGCAAAAATCCGTAATAATCTCACATTTGAGCCGTGTACAGTCTACATTTTTGTATTTGCCTGCAGCTGAAAACAGCCAGCTATTTTCTCCAACTATTAGCAAGTGCTACATGCTGATCCTACATAGAAACAAAAAACTGTTTAAAATTTGAACTACACCTAATATATGCCTGAAATTCTGACTTCTAAGCACCACACTCCTCCACAGTAACACTGAAAACAGTATAATTTTAATGACACAATTATCCGATTACTGTACAACAAATTTTATCTAAGAATATTTTAAAATAACATTTAAAAACCCTGCATCAAGCTGAGACACAGCTTAATGATAATGTGCTGCCCATTATTTGCCCTTATAAATTACTCTTTCCAGAGGCTAAAATTAAGTTCACCTTCTCATACAATTGCCTAGTATATTTGGAGAAGCTTCAACATTTCCAAAACAAGGTTAGAAGAAAATATTCTATGCTACTACCTTTAAAAAACATAATTAGTACCTCATATATGCAAATTGGTAACTGAAATGTGACAGGTGGCCTTAAGTACCAGTTTGTATCTTTTACTGTTCTTCTTGTGCAAATCTATCCAAATGCAGACAAGTAACAGGCTTTTGAACTTTCCAGACGTATATTAGTTCAACAAGTCCACAGATAAATTCTGTCAACACATCTGCCTACAGAGAACATGCTCCACAATTTACTTTAACTAGCCATTTTTAATTTTACGGTGTCAGCTAGAACCAAAAATAGGGCATCTTTCCTCAGTACTATCAATTCATTCACTGTTGCTGGCAGAGAACAAACATGAGGGTAAAAGACCCAGAAGAGGAGAGAACACCACCACTCTTGGAAAAGACACTTGAGCTGGAGCCTGGCAGACTGTGGAATGAGGAATCAAGAACGGCAAACATCAGGCGTAAGTCATGACAAGGGAGAAATCAGAGTTACGAGAGCACTAATGGAGCCAGTGATGACTGGAGAAGGCCTGAAGTTGAAGGTGATTCCCAAGTCACAAAGAAATGCTGTCAGCAAACAACGCCCACTGGAAGAGTGCATACCACGACTGCTTTACTGACTATCCAATGCAATCAAGGATACTAGTGCAACTAGTTCTATTTTTGACTGAAATGGAGAAATCTATGCTATAGAAAGAAAAGAGCAAAGTGAAGCTAATTCCAACCCTGAGAAGATCACTGTATTAATATAACTGATATTAAAAAGCAATCTATAAAGATAATTGATTTAAATTTAGGAAGTTAGAAGTGGAAAGCACCACAATAATATTGTCTACTCTGTAAAGCACTCTGAAGTTGTGCAGTATCACAAGGAGTGTTCCATGCGCAATCAAAATTAACCTACCTACACACATGCATTAGAAAATAACCTTTAATTACATCACCACATAACATTTTAACCAGGACTCTACCTTATTTAGGTTAAAACAAGAAGCTTAACAGCCAATTAATTAGCATTTTTCTCCTCTCATC